ATTTACTACACACTACTTTGCTCAAAACGTAATATCGTGAATCGTAAAAAAGAAAAGAAAGAAATCTATCTTTCATCTATAAACCTGACGATTTGTTTCAGATTTTAATGTATTACTTCCACAATCACACATTCTTTCTCAAGATACTTATAGTTTTGTGATAACGTAATAAATACGTATAATCGTATAAAACAAAAAGGTTTATTTCCAAAAAAAATAAAATAATACATTGCGTGAATGAAAAAATTAATGTTGCCAAATTCATTTTCATTCTATTATTTTTTCCATCTTTGGGATTTGTAAATTTAAAACTAGGATAATTATATTGTTATATACCCAATTCCGGATTAAGTTTTTTTTTTGTTCACAGGGGATATGATTTTCTAGACTTTAGTCCCGATTGTACGATAGACGGAGATACTATAGTGGAATTAAAATGTTAGAAAAAAATCTTTAAAAACTAAATGCGTGGACAATTAACTTTAAAAAGAACAGATAAATATTTTGATCAAGAACAAGTCCTGTTTCTAACTTTGTGCAAATTAATTTTTGGTAAAAGAATTAAAAATAGTGTAACAACAATAACATTTTGTAATTGACCTTAGAAACCATACAGTTTGTTATAATACAGGGTGAGTATTATAGCAACGGGATCCTGACCAATTTTCAATGCAACACAACATACATCTATCAGTTATTGCTAGATTCCAAAATAAACACATACGTTTTCAGGATCAACGTAGGTACTCTCCTTACTAGTTATCACTGTTTCTGAAAGACGTTAATCAAAATTTCACAAATATTAATAAACACTGTGGAATCGTAGTGGCGGGCACCAAACATCCGTCAGAATAAAAAGTTGATCACCATGAAGCATTACCAAATATCAATTCTTCTCAGGACCACCAATTGTTTCTACAACTAATAATCTTTCGCATTGACCTTTAATGATGAAGGAATACATGAATGAATGAATGAATGATGACCAGCAAAAAGTCGGTTTTACTTTTACTTGAAACTGAAAGTGTTTATATCGTTTTTATTCGAATGGTTTTCCACCTACTGTTTAAAAGGTGGATCAGTTGCATCGTATCGAAGGTGATGCATGGGAGTTTTGACCCATTCGACTTTTAATTGGTTTTTTCTATATTTCCACATTACTACGGCACGTGCTTACAATTATTGCATATATTTCGAAATCACCCTGTGTATGAATCTCTAGGTATGTATGTATTTCGTAAATTAAAATTAAACTTGTTTGGCTCATGCTTTGAATTAATTGGGTGCAAAAATTTGGTAGCCATACGAAAACGTACATATTTTTATTTTAAGTTATAGGGCTTCCCTTAAAAAAAATAATCGCAGAAACAAATTTTATATTTTTTCGAAAAAGTTGAATATACATATTTTATTGTAATTCAGGGGCGAGGGAAGTTCTGTCGAAATATCTTTGACCAATTTTTACTTCCCGAGCGTAAGCAAAGGAAGTATTGTAATCGAGTCCGTCGGCCGACTCTCTACTTTTACGTTTTCTCGATCTTTCATGACCCCTAGAAGACGAAGAAATAGGTCTCTCACTTCCGTCTGTCAGTCCGTCTGTCCGTCTGTCCGTCTGTCTGCCGTCCCGGATTTTTATTAGACAGATAATCTCCGAAAGTACCGGACCGATTGTTGTGAAATTTTGTACTTATATTAGGAATATCATGTAGATGGTAAAACACTAAACAAAATTTGTTTAATCATCCCCACCACTAATGCGATGACGTCACTTCAAAATTGTACATAGTAAATGGGTCTTAAATTGTATAAAATAACATAATCCTACACATGTAGTTTACGACTCCGAATTGAGTTTTTACCCGAAACGTCCAGATTTTTGGAAAAAAAATCAAAATTATAAAACAACATTTTGCAATTTAATTTTGAATCTGTTAATCCGAATGTTTTGAAATGTTGCAGATGTTTTAAGGCTCTAAAGAGCATCATAAATCTTTAGTCAAAATATATTTGGTTATCCCCTCCAAAAACTTGATGACGTCAGCTCAAAAGTTTGCCGAATAAATCCTATCTAAAATGTACAAAATATGATGCGTCTGTACTTGTGATATATCACTCCATTCATATTTTTTGGATTTACGTCTACAGGGTGACTCAAAAAAATTAATGAATGCGCAAAATTTATTTTACTGATTTACTCAGCAACTACAAAACCGAATGCTTTGAAATCTTGAAGATGTTTTAAAATTATCAAAAGCATGGTAAATTTTTTATCAAAATGTATTTGGTCGTCCCTCCTAAAAAATGTATGACGTCACCACAAAATTTTGCTGAATAAATCCTATCTGAAATGTACAAAATATGATGAGTCTGTACTTGTGATTTATCATTCCATTCATATTTTTTCGATTTGCATATATAGGGTGACTGAAAAAAATTAATGAATGCGTCAATTTATTTTATTGATTTAATCAGGAATTACAGAACCGAATGCTTTGAAATCTTGGAGATATTTTAAAGTTATCATAAGCATGGTAAATTTTTTATCAAAATGTATTTGCTCTTTCCCCCCTAAAAAATTGATGACGTCACTCCAAAATTTTGCTGAATAAATCCTATCTAAAATGTACAAAATTTGATGAGTCTGTACTTGTGATTTATCATTCCAACCATATTTTTTGGATTTGCATATACAGGGTGAGTCAAAAAAATGAATGAATGCATGAATTTATTTGATTGGTTTAATCAGGATTTACAGAACCGAATGCTTTGAAATCTTGGAGATGTTTTAACAGTTATTATAAGCATGGTAGATTTTTTATCAAAATGTATTTGCTCATCCCCCCTAAAAAATTGATGACGTCACCCTAAAATTTTGCTGAATAAATCCTATCTAAAATGTACAAAATATGGTGAGTCTGTACTTGTGATTTATCATTCCATTCATATTTTTGGATTTGCATGTACAGGGTGACTCAAAAAAATTAATGAATGCGTGAATTTATTTTATCGATTTAATCAGGAATTACAAAACCGAATGCTTTGAAATCTTGGAGATATTTTAAAGTTATTATAAGCATGGTAAACTTTTGTTCAAAATGTATTTGTTCATCCCTCTTAAAAAAATGGATGACGTCACCCTTAAATTTTGCTGAATAAATCCTATCTAAAATGCAAAAAATATGATGAGTTTGTACTTGTGATTTATCATTCCATTCATATTTTTTAGATTTTCTTAAGAGGTGGCTCAAAAAAATTAACGAAGTCAATTTATTTTATTGATAAAATTAAAGGCAACACTTATTATTAGTATTACGTTGGACTAACCCAATTTGGTAGACACAACATTTTTTAAAGTAAAAACTCGGTTGAAACATAAGGGTAGCACGCTTATTTACATCTACTTTAACATTATAGACGTGCATTTGTTTTGTGCGCTTTTGTGGTATAGACACGTTTATAATCAACCAATTGTTAATTCCACCGTCAAAAATTAAAATAAAACCCAATGTTTTATATAATAAGCGGAAGTCGAAGCAATAAAATCGATGGTCGTTTTGTTTACAGTTTCTCTGTTTGACTCTCACGTATGCTGTTACGCTTGTCATCTTAAATTAAGAATGCTTATACATAAACGATTTTCAGTTGCCTCTCATATTACACGCCGGCGCCGTATACGTGAGTAAATTGTTTCGTTATTTTATTGATTATAACAAATCAATATTCAAAACGACCCAATTCATTTTCCCGAAAATTTGGGAATACAATAATTTTATTCTTAGTATTACACTACATCTATCCCAACTGATATACGTGTCCTTGCAAAAATGTTGATGACGTCATCGCAATTTTTTTTTAAATTCCCACTACAAAAATGTGATGAGAAAAAAAACACAATAGGCATGCAGTCGTCAAGTTTCCGACAGCGAGGGAAGTACTGTCTAAACAAGAGTTTAGACAGTACTTCCCTTGGTCTAAAGATAGACCAATTTTTTTGTTTTATATGCATGAGGAATGGAATAAGTAATTCAATATTATTCGTTAAATTCTTAACCGGTCGGTTACCTGTGGTAGTATAAATATAGTTTAAATATTGTGAAGTAATTTCAGTGATAATATTAATAAATATTAATTAATCAGTAATAACGTATAATCAAAATGTTAACAATAATAAATATTAATAATAATTGTGAATGAACGACATTTGTGAATAACAATAACAGCAGGTCGGATTACAGCTAGAAGTGACAAACCAACAAAAAGTGGTCTAAGATTATTAGACAGAACTTTCCTCGTCCCTGACGTACAATAGAACAGATCCTGTTTCTTTAAAGATCATAGTATGTTATTTTATACATGATGGTTTTCCGGGTTGGAACCGTGTTAATTGAGTTTTTGGGAGTATGTTATTTTATATAATATACTACTTTAAATGGTGTTTAATAAAAAAACATTTGAAGGGACATCATCAAATACTACACTATATTCCTCATATACATATAAATTTCACAATAATCGGTCCAGTAGTTTCGGGAATTATCTATCTAATAAAAACTGACGCAGACATATAGACAAATGACAGACTACAAACAGATGGATCCGTGACACCTACTTTTTTGTATGCTAAAGGTCATGGAACGTCGAGAAAAGATGAAAATATATATAACAATTGTTTTGTGTATAAATAAAAATTGTCTTTTTATTGTTCGAAAAACCGTTGTTATTTAGAAATTTTTGTTCAGCTACTGTTTTGCTGTTTATAAAATATAGGCACACAAAGTTGCACTATTAAAACAATAGAGGAACCCAAAGGTCAACAACAACATATACAATTCTGTTTGACGTCAGAAGAAAGCGTTTAAAGTTGAATGACGTTGTTTATTCAAAAAGTGCATTTTATATTTCGTAAATGCATTGTTTTGCATACTTACTGCTATTGAGTTCAACACGCTTTATCGAAATATAAGAAAAATATAATTGTGTTTATATTCAGTACACGACTAGCCACTTTTAGTTGATACATTCTCGTTGTTTTTAGATTTAATAATCTTGAACTATGGAAGCATTGTAATGGACACCATTCGGCAAAAGGCTGATTTCATTTCATCTATAGCGGAAATTTACTTAAAAACCTTTTGAGGTAAGGCTAATTTTCGGATTAGATGATTACACAAATTTTTTGAAGATTCAAAAGTACATCTAAAATTTGAAACTGCTTAATGTAAGAGTTCGGTGATTATCTATTTAATAAAAACACCCCAAAAGAACAAATAGCCAGGGACGAAAAGCTGATATTTTACGTTATAGAAGCCATGAAAGGTTACGTTTTCAGGTTAAGGTTGAAGCTATAATTTTAAGGTATATGCGTGTGCGCTGTCCTGAACTTAAAATTTAAATTTCGTGCTGAGAGCATTAAAAAAAATCAAACTAACATAGGTCCACCATTGTCCTCGAAGATATAGGGAAGTAGATGAATGTCAATTTGGGCTAGAGGTCGGGGATGCAAAAGAAATAGATTTTTGCAAGTTCACTTACTTCCTGTGATTGTCACTTTTTGTTTTGTTGTTGTGAGTGTAAGCACGTGCTAAAATTGGTAGGTAAAACTTAGTTTGTAATTTTATAAAAGAAAAATTGTTTAAACAAAACGAAATCGCATTCCATGTCGAAATTACACAATTTGAATTTGGAGATTTTATTGTTGAAACATTTACGCAACGTTAGAGGGGCATCAAACTCGCCTTATTTTTGATTTTCTACTGCACTTAATATTTGCCTGTTGTGTTTCTTTTTCGGGATTTTTGAGCTAGTTCACGATGGAAACTTGACGATCTTCATTTTAATTTGATTCATAACTTGAATGAATGCGTTATTTAACCTCATGTAAATTTTTTGTTGTTTAAATTGTTGATAGCGTGTGCCATAATTTAACATAATGTATGTTGTTTGTTTGAAATTCTTGACATAGTGTGGCGTAATTAAATATTGTTTGCTTTATTTGCAACTCTAATACTGGTGCAGTTGTTGTAAATTCGAGGAACATAGATTTTGATTTTTAAATAACTGAAATACAAGCACAAGATCACGTGGCGTCTACGCGAACGCGCAGTTAGGTTGAATAGATGACTGTTTTGCAAAGACTGGGTAGAGAGTATAATATGCGACAGGTTTTTTGAGCATAGAATGTGGTGTGTCTGTTATACCTGTCAAATTCCACTCTTACAACGTCCTCTGTAGCATATTTGTATGACTTACAATCAGTTACTTTAATTCAGATTTCACTTATTTTCTTCGAATGTTTAATAAATTAGTGATATTCAAATATTTCCTTTCATTTGTAACAGGCCTCTTGAAATATATGTTACGCCACTGTTTAAAAAACAAAAATCTTTATAAATGTAGTCAACAAGACTCCATAAAACAACAGATTTATTCGTTCTTATTTATAATTAAAGAGATTACAATTTTTCCTTTCAGGTTATTGCCACAACAATTACAATCAGAAACGAAAGATACAAATACCGAGAAAAACAACGCCACGGGTTTATAAGGAATCTTTTCTGATATCCTAAGTGGTTTAAGGTTTAACAAAGATTAAGTAGTGGGATTTTGTTCCAGTGACATTTTCGCTAAAACATGAATATTATTTTGGTGGGAATCTTTTTTATTACCTTTTTCTTCTATTTAATTAATCAAATAAAAAGGCCATCAAAATTTCCTCCAGGTGAGTAGAATTAATTTCATTTTACGTAGTGCCATCATGTCATCAACATAATTCGGTAGTATAGCAGTGATGTCTGAAATAAGGAAAATTTAATACGATACTTCTTAACATTGCATTTATTCTATTTTAGTTTTTATTGCATTTTTATCTTCGTTGTTTTTCATATGTTCAATAATCTAGTTACTATTGTACTAAATTTCTTAGCGTGATTTAGGTCGCTTAAAGTCAATATTTTTGTGTAAAATTAAAATTTAGTTTCTATTGAAATCATTAAATTCGTTAGAATAACACTAGTTTACAAATTTAAACTTTTTTTCGTATCCAAAAATAAAAAAAAATATTTTTTGCTTCTAAATTACTTACTGATAACAAATCCAAAAACGGATTATCCTTATCCCGTCAGGTTTTTTCATAAATCAAAAATAATGAACTTTGCTCTTACCTTCACGTTAGTGTCAAACTGATTCATGTTAATACACCATTGTCACATAAAAAATGTCTTCGAGATCGTGCAGAGTAAGTGCAAATCAGTTTTGTTACGTTTATGGTAAAATTATAGTACCTAAAGCAAGACCTGTTCAAATATGCTTAAAAAGAAGGTATCAAGGATTTTGGGACGAAAATGTGTTACTGTTGGTCTATTATAAGGGAAACTGTCAGTACTGTCAATAAAAGAAAAACTACTGTTTATAATTTTTAATTTTCAGTCATAATATTTATAATATATACTGGATGTTGCTTTTATTTGATACAACCCCTGTAACTTCTTTATTCTTAAAGATAAACCTGTATTTCTTTGAGCAAATTTGTATCATTTTAAAAGATCTTTGTGAACCCAACCTCACATTTTTATTATCACTTCCCGTAGAAGAATCAAAAGCAACCAATTATATTCTAAAATCAATATTTGAAAAATTTTAAATAAAACATTGATGACAATCTAGTAGCTTGAAAAATTGACACTCATGTTATTTATTTACGACAATGATCTTTTAAAATGATATAAATTTGCTCAAAGAACTATATGTTCATATATATTTAAAAATAAAAAACGTTACAAGAGTTGTATAAAAGAAAATAAATACGGGGTATGTTTGTATAAATATCTCAAAAACCTGACGTGACAGATTTTTTCTGCTTTCAGATTTGAATTTCCCGAACCCGAATCCTTTAGATTCAGCTATTTTTGTCTTTGGATATAAAACCTTGTAAACTAGTGTAATTTTTACTTTCAGAGTATAATGTAAGTATTGTATTAAGGTCTGTCCCTTGAATGGCTGTTTTCATGTTTCCTCGACGTTTGATGATTCCTAGAGTATGAAAAAATTGGTACCCTGTTTCCGTTTGTCTGTCGTCTGTGTCAATTAATGTAAAATTTTGTGTATACGTTAGCAATATCGTCTAGATCGTAAAATGCTAACCATAATGTGTCTGATCATCTCCACCTAGCCTTTTTACTTCAACTAGATTTTTATGATTTTCGCATTTTTTATAAATTAAATTTTATTAATCATTTACTTTGTATTCTATAGGACCGATATGGTTTCCGATCGTAGGCAATCAAGTCCAGCTACGAATATTGTCCAAGTCATTAGGCGGACTACACTTGGCTTTATCATACCTGTCCCAAAAATACAAAACTGGAGTCTTGGGTTTGAAACTTGGAAAAGAGTACATAGTTTCAGTATCAGGGTATCCCCTGATTAAAGAAGTATTTACTCGCGAGGAGTTCGAAGGTAGACCCGAGAATTTTTTTTTTAAGATGCGTAGCTTTGGACGACTTAAAAGTGGTATAAGGTCAAACTTTAAACTCTACGGTTTTAAATATTTTGTGGTTAAAGGTATTACAGGTACTGATGGAATTGGTTGGAGCGTCCATCGAAGCTTCGTTTTGCGCCATTTTTGCAGCATGGGTTTCGGAAAAACACCAATGGACGCTATGGTGAAGAATGAGATTGAGGAGGTTTTACAAATTCTAAAAAATAGTAGATCGAATATTCGCTTATCGAAACTTTTTGCGCCGGCTATTTTGAATATTTTATGGACTTTGGTAGCTGGGAAGAGAATTGCCAGAGATGATTTGTTTCTGGACGAAATGTTGGATCTACTCTCAAAAAGAGGAAAGATGTTTAATGTTACCGGAGGTGTTTTAAATCAGTTTCCTTGGATAAGGTATATTGCCCCAAAGTGGAGCGGATTTCGTTTAATAGAATACATTAACGGTAAATTGAAGAAGATGATATCAACTACTATTGAAGAGCACCATGACACTTGGGAGGAAGGACGAGATGATGATCTGATTTACTCATATATTTCTGAAATCAAGAAATCGAAGAATAATCCAATTTTTTGTGGTGGGTGGGGAATTTTAATGTTATCAAAATTTTTACATTACCACTTGTTACTTCTCTGATTTCTAAATAGCTATTATTAGTTTTTTTTTTTTAAGATGAGGAGCTTGTGGTTGTATGCTTTGATATGTTTATTGCTGGATCTCAGATTACAAGTGGCAGTTTGGACTTATTATTTTTCATGATGACTCAGTATCCAGAAGTGCAAAAAAAAGTTCAAGAAGAAATTGATACAAAAATAGGACGAGAATCATACATAGAATATGCAGATGTTAAAAGGTGCGTACTATATATATCACCAAATTAATACTGATCTGGAGTTTTCTACATTTTAGGCTACCGTACACTTATGCTGTATTAATGGAAGTTCTAAGATACTCTCATGTAGCACCAATTGCAGGCCCGAGACGAGTGATGAGAGATACTACACTAGAAGGGTATTTTCTACCAAAGGTACATAATATTCCAACATGTAGGAATAAAACATTACAAATAATGTGACAGGGAACGACCGTTCTATTAGATTTTCATACAATGCACTATACGCAGGAGAAATGGAGCAGTCCGGAAACTTTCAAACCTGAAAGATTTTTGAATGAAAAGGGAGAATTCTCTACACCTGAAAACTTTTTACCATTTGGTTTAGGTGAGGGTTTATTTTGTTTTTACGTCTTAACATATTTACATTTTTTTGGTTTTCTAATTTACAGCTCCAAATTTATTTGATTTCAGGTAGACGAAGATGTTTGGGGGAGGTCTTGGCAAAACACTGTTTATTTTATTTCTTTGTGGAAGTCATGAGAAAGTACAGTGTGGTAATGGCACCTGAGTCGGAAGCTATCAGTCATCTTCTCCTGGGAATAACACTAACTCCTGAAAACTACAAGGCAACATTTTTGGAACGTTGAATTTGGCTTTGTTGAAATTTCGATAGCTCTATTCGCATGATATTTTTCATTTTAATGCTTATTAGACTTTTTTGTTCAGGTATATATGCATGTCTTAATAACTTATGTTAATGTTTCCTAGTACTGAAAATTGGTGACAGAATCTAATTAGAAATATTTTCTGAGTCGAGAATAAATCAAAATACTCAATCCAAACCAACGGAAATTTGAAGTATAGTTAACACAACTATTAATAATAAAAAAAAATAGTCAAACTGCTTTAGAGATATGCAATGACATATTTGTAAATCATTTTGCCAAACACTGTTCCACTGCTACAATTAAAAAAAATATAAAAATTCTGACCATCTAATTAAACCCACAATGTCCTCTTGACTCTCCAACCTCAAATTCACTTTCTATTGATTATACATCTCCTCAAGATGTCCTTGATATCATCAAACGTCTTAAAAAGAATTATATTATTCATCTGGTCCTGGTAGCACCACGAGTAAACTATTGACTTACGTTAGCGAAGAAATTGTAGGTGAATTCAGTAATCTTATCAATAGGTCTCCAAAAACTGGTGTGTTTCCTTACAACTTCAAAACTTCTTTTGTTTATCCAGTTTATAAAAGCCAGGATCGACATAAATCTGAAAATTGTTGACCAATCTCTGAATTAAATACTTTCTTTACTAAGTAAGAAAAAAGCATTTTCACCGACAAGCAGCAAGGTAGGTCTAGATGTAGAAAGTGCCACTGTGCCATTTTTTACAGCATATTTATAAAGAATTTGATAGAGGTAATCATATTATTGCGTTGGTTCGTTTTTTGACTTATCGAGTGACACAATTAACCTGTCATTTGTTTTAGACAAATTATATGTATTAGGGGTAAATTATATTACTGGATACGACATTATCTCTCAAATAGATTATTATATAAATTGGTGATGTGCTTTCTAAAGAACAATATTATGTACATCTTTCTGGGTGTGCCTCAGGGTTCAGTGTTGGGTCCGTTAAGCAAATGTTTTCAGTTCTAGTAGTTATGATACAACAATAACTATGACTTCTGCTAATCTTACTCTGTTACAGGAAAACGGAATGTATTTACTTCTCAAAAAGAAGATTATTACCATCTGATTTTGTCATTAACGTAAACAGTACACTCGTTGAGTTGTAGCACTCAATAAAATTTTTGGGAACCTACTTGGATTCGCGCTTAGACCGGAAAACCAATAATAATAATCATAATATATGTAAAAAACTTAATAAGGTATATTATGCAATCCATCAGCTAAAAGGGATATTGAATGTTAAAAGTTTATTATCTTGTATGAGGGCTAGCATGGGCTGTTTGTTGCCCAAAAAAGGCCAATAAAAATGATTTTAAATCAGTCACCACGAGATTCTTGTAGAAACTATTTTGTGAACAATAATATTGTTACGAAATAAACTAATACTAAATAATAATACCGTCGAGAACGTTCAGTCAGTCAACGAGTCGAGTCCAGTAAATGAGAGAATGATTCTAGTCAAATCTATTCCAGTCGAGTCGGAATTATTTTGTACATAATCGACAGAATATTAGTTCGTAATTTTTAGAGTGCGGGCTTGTATTCGTGTTTCATCGGCCACGTGCTTTGAAAAAGGCAGCGTTACCGAATAAAACCGTTGTTGGTTGTGATATTGCGTAACCGGCGTGTGGCCGAGCGCTCCGGCACAAAATAATTTTTTTTTAATTTGAAGCATTCTTAATAGCAAAACATCTGCAAAAAGAGGATATTTTGGCAGTAGAAAATAGCCAAAAAATTATTTATTCGCATATTTATGGTATGTACATACCATCTTTTATTTGAATTGGAATTACCTGTATTACATATCATCAATTTAATTGTAGTAGTAGAATTAGTCTTAAAACAATTTTTTTTCAAATTCAATGGTTCGTTTTAGAAACAAAACACGGGCTTAACAATGGGATCATCTCAATCACCGTTTCTAGCTGAAATATTTATGAACAATGCGTATAGAAACAGAAATTATCTCAAATACCAAATAAAATCAAATTCTAGGACCCTTACGTAGAAAACGTTTCATCTCTCTTTCAAGGGTGTTTCGAGAATCTCAAGTCTTTCGTAGACTACATTAATTCAATTCATTTCTTTTGCGAAGAAATTCCGGTGACGGTCCGGAATTTAGCCGATAACGCGTGGGGGTGGCATGCCTCAGTGCCAAACCTTGGGCTGACTAGTACCGCTGAATGGAAACACATCTGGCCGACATAGCCTCACGTGGACATCTTCACGTCACCAGCGGTGGCGCCTTCCGTCGGGAGCGGCGGCGCTCGGGAGCCAGTTCCCTCTCCGGGGATTTAAACGTTTCTTTCAAAACTAAAACAAATCTTGCTTCCTCTTTAGTCCAAAACAAAGACTCAATTCTAACTGTTTTCTTGCTCAGTAGTTCAACAATTAAATTGTAATGATTGCTGTACCTACTATGTACTTTCGTTTATCTAGTAGAAAAATCAATTTGAGAATTAAAAAACATAATAGACTAATCACCCAGTCCTTAGATTCAGGTAGGGACAAACACCAACTTTGCTTTTGCTAACCACATTTTAGAATCCAATCATTCCTTCTATCCACTAAAAAATGCTAAAATTTTACATGTCTTCAATAAAAGTACTCTTCTTAACTTCTTCGAAATCCTATAAATTTATAGATTTGTAAATAATCCAAATTTAAAATGTGCAAATGAACAAACATGCTTTAACACCCATATCCCATCCCATTTTATTGCTAACATAAACTTATATGTTAGCAATAAAATTATATATACGATCGAAACTAAAGAGTAAATCTCACAATAAAAACTTTAAACAACAATTCAAAAAGTCACAAATTCCAAGTTTGCAATACTAATAACTCATTATTAGTTGCCTTAAATATTTAGTCCCCATAACTACCACTGGATAACACTCGTTCAAGTAAAAGTTCCAATCTTATTCGCTAGAAGACCTCCTTATATATATATGATTTGCGAATACCTCCCCTGGAGGACGTCTTACTGCAATCCACTCATTTTTACTTACTTCCCGAGCGTAAGCAAAGTAAGTATTGTAATCGAGTACGTCAGCCGACTCTCTACTTTTGCATTTTCTCAACATATCATGACCCCTAGAGGACGAAGAAATAGGTCTCCCGCTTCCGTCTGTATGTTCGTCTGTCCGTTTGTCCGTCTGTCTGTCTGCCGTCCCGGATTTTTATTAGACAGATAATCTCCGAAAGTACTGGGCCGATTGTTGTCAAATTTTGTATTTATATCAGGTATATAATTTTTTATTTTATTTTGTGGTAAAACGCTAACCAAAATTTGTCTGATCATCCCCACCACTAATGTGATGACGTCTTTTCAAAATTGCACATAGTAATTGGGTTTTAAATTTTATCAAATAGCGTAGTCTTACACATGTAGTTTATGACCCCGAATTGAGATTTTACCCGAAACGTCCAGATTTTTGAAACAAAAAAATAAAAATGAAGAAACAACATTTTGACATTTAATTTGGAATCTACAAAACCGAATGCTTTGAAATCTTCCAGATGGTTTACAGTTACGAGAAGCATGATAAAATTTTAATCACAATATATTTACTTATCCCCTCCAAAAAATTGATGACGTCAGCTCAAAAGTTTGCCGAATAAATCCTATCTAAAATGTACAAAATATGATGAGTCTGTAGTTCTGTACTTGTGATTTATCTTTCCATTCATATTTTTTTGATTTGCATATACAGGTGACTCAAAAAATTAATGAATGCGTTAATGAATTTTATTGATTAAATCAGAAACTACCAAACCAAGTGTTTTGAAATTTTGGAAATATTTTAAAGTTATCATAAGCATCGTAAATTTTTGATCAAAATGTATTTGCTCATCCCACCTAAAAAATTGATGACGTCACCCCAAAATTTTGCTGAATAAATCCTATCTAAAATGTACAAAATATGATGAGTCTGTACTTGTGATTTCTCATTCCAGTCATATTTTTTGGATTCGCATGTACAGGGTGAATTTATTTTATTGATTTAATTAAGAACTACAAAACCTAATGCTTTGAAATCTTAGAGATGTTTTAAATTTATCATACGCATATTAAATTTTTAGTCAAAATGTACTTGCTCCTCCCCGCCAAAAAAATTTATGACGTCACCTCAAAATTTTGCTGAATAATTCCTATCTTAAATGTGCAAAATATGATGAGTCTGTAGTTGTGATTTATCATTCCATTCATCTTTTTTGTATTTGCACATACAGGGTGACTCAAAAAAATTAATGAATGCGCGAATTAATTTTATTGATTTATCAGGAACTACAAAACCCAATGATTTGAAATCTTGGAGATGTTTTAAATTTATCATAAGCATTGCAAATTTTTGATGAAAATGTATTCTGCTCATCTCCCTAAAAAATTTATGACATCGCCTCATAATTTTGCTGAATAAATTCTTATTTACTTGATTAACTTATTCAAAATACGAGGTCGCCCAATAAAGTCGAAGGCGGTTGCTACAACCACATTAATAAATTAATTTGTTAAGTTGACAATTCGCTAAACTTTTTAGTCTTCCTAAACTATGATTACTACCTTACGTGGTGTTATTGAAGCTACTGTTCTAGAGTCTCTCAAAATTGTCTCTAAAGCCTTTATAGTTTGAGTGTATATTCAATTCCATGTTTTTTTTTAGCTTTTTTTAACATTTAGAGATAAAAATCACATTCAACAATTTCGCTTTGCTAGAGACATTTTGACCTACCGGTGTAAAAAAAACTTGATTACGACATTTCTGCAAACTACCCCAGTGAGTTGTTTTTTGTTACAATAGTAATTTAACAGTTTATTTTTCAGCTATGTACTTGTTTGAATACATCATATTGTATTAATCATCTCTCTTTATTATTGTTTCTCCCATCATTTTTTCATCGGTTCATGATATAAATGTAGAATCTATTTTCGCAAATTGCAGGAAACCGGTTTCATTTCAATTCTTGAATATTGAGCAGAAAAAAAAACAGTTAAGGGGTACAAATAACACTAATTAAAAGAATCATCTTGTTATATGTATTATGTAAGTATTTGGTAGAACTCCACATACAATATTAATTTCCTTCATATAACATCAAATTTAATAGAAATAATGTTTTTTACTTATATCTTACAACTTGTACAATTACTTTCTGTATAATCTTAATGGATTTCCATAGCAGTTTTTCTTACTCTATTTCTTATAGTGTCACAGAAATTAAATAAAAATTGCCACAAAATTAGATCAAAAAATTACATCCCACTTAATTTGTTACTTTGCTTTCTTTTTATTTTAAATAGACTTTGAATGAGTAATGGAAAAATCCAAATTGAACACAAGAAATTTTGTAAATCAATAACCAGCTCTAATCTAAATCTCGTTAAACCCATGTTTAATTAAATTATCTACACATATAAGAATTCGCACCCCTTTTCTTGCGCAAAGCGTTCCACACGATGAATCCGAGTGACATTATTTTGATCAAATACTTGATTTTGATATTTTTGTTGTTGTTTTACGCGTAGTTGGCATTCCTGCACCCCCAGCCGCCTTCGTAGCTGCCTCTCCAGGATGCTGCGAAAAATCAATAAACTCATCTAGGGTTAAAACATCCCTCATTTCTCTATTATTTTCCACGCTTAATAGCCAACCATGTAACGACAACCAAAACAAATTACTCTTTGGCGTATTTTCAGTTTTATCGTTATCAAAATTATCGCAAAAATGTAGTGCGTGCTTAGTTTTTTTTGTGATAATCAAATGGGGTTGGTTAAGGGGTGGATGTATTGTATTTTGTGGTATTCGAGTATTTTGGCAGGTAAGTGTTTGTTGTAATTACTATCTTTCGCAGTTTTATGAGTGATTGTTTATTTTTTAGGTTACGCAGGACTGTTTTGTCCTTTGTTGCCTGTCCTTTTTCTTTCAAACAAGTTGTATCGCTATTGTACAGATGCTTTGTTTACGTTTTGGCAGTATTATCCTACAGTAAAGTTTTGTGCGCATTTAAGAATTTTTTATTTAAGTATTTTTCGCAGGTTTTGCTTGAAACTTTGTGTGGATGTGATATACAGGTCTCTGGAGACGTCATTTTAGCGAATGAGACATCTCTCATTGTTATGAACCATCGCACCAGGACTGACTGGAATTTTTTGTGGCCCACCATGTATCACTGTGTTTATGGTAAAAGTAGGTTTAGGCATCCCACGAAATTTGTATTGAAAGACATTATAAGGCACATTCCAGGACCAGGTACTGCAATCTTTAATTATCATTAGCGTTTTTTAAAAATGTTATCTATGTAGGTTGGGTGATGCAAATGGCCTGCTTTGTATACATCAAGCGCTGCTGGCTTTTGGATAAAATAACTCTTCAGAAAGCCGTTGATTATTTCGCTGATCTTTCGTATAAATACTCTCTTTTAGTCTTCCCGGAAGGTACTGACTTTACTAAATCTACTAAATCTAAGAGCGATTCGTACGCTCGTAAACATGGGATTCAGACTTATGACTATGTTCTTCATCCCAGAACCACAGGGTTTGTGTTTTTGACCCAGCAGATGTTATCAAGACAGGCTGTGGACGCTGTGTATGACGTAACGTTAGTTTACCCTGATGTAGTACCCCAAAATGAGGCCATCTTGTTGAAGGGGGATTTCCCCAAACAAATCAAAGTTCATTTAGTCAGGTTAGTATGTATATAATTTTTATGTTGTTAATTCCGGTGATGATTTTTCGACCTTCCATACCATGTTCTTGTGCGAGGGTTCCTTGAAATTGGATGAGTTTTATAATTTGGAGAAATACTTACTGAGAAATTTTCGCATGATGATTCGTATTTAGTTTTAGAAAGTAAATTCACATTAAAAAGATTTTTAGTTTTTCTTTATGAACTCCGCACTGAAAAAAAATTTCAACAAACAAAGATATAAATCTATTTTTCGCCTGATTTCGAAAACTTCGCCAGGGTTTCCATAAATAATTATAGGGTCGAAGTAGGTCATGAATACGTGCCGCCTCTCAGTTTTCGACCCTACTAAATGCCCAAGGACTAACGACAAATACCATACGCATCTGTATAACTGGTTACCTAAATGCTTCAAATCTTTTTAAAAAAGAAAACGAATTCATTAGGATAAAATGGCACTAATTTTCATTTTATACGATTCATCTCGATGGCAGGTTCTAAAAAGCCTGATAATGACATCAAATACAGTAAAAGTATAAAAGTTTCAATAGTTATAGAGTACAAACGTTCAATTCGGTGGTTCCTGATGAAATCTTTTAATCTAGTCCACGCCAAATTTTTCAATATTTACTTTTTTTTTATTTGGAGCACTTTTTTCAACACTATTGCATATTTCCAAATGGATGATGACCCTAAATTTCCTGATTAAATTATGACATCTAACTAATTTTGCTAACCATGCCCCTCCCAACAATGTGATGACATCCGCTCATTATATTGCGTGATAAATTAACATCAGGAGAATTATATCAAATAATGTACTCCTGTACTTGTGGTTTACGAATCTGCTTTGATTTTGTTAATTAATGTTATATTTGTTTAATGTTTCAACGGCCTTCTACTTTAGGGATACAGTGGGGAACCTTGTTACAGTTAGCGTGGCGATGCGTAAAGTATGAACCTCGCAGATTGAAGGTCGAGCGATTGAAACTGGCGGTCGGTGGCTGCTTTTCTTTCATTGGATAACATACATTTCATTCTCAAATTTTTTATTGATCACTCGATTTCCTCGAAAATGCAAGAATACACCCGTCTTTCTGTAATTATGATAAAATAAAAATTATAATATTATTCAGAATATTTTGTACCAATATGATTTAATTAATAATAATTTTAGTTCTCTGTTTTGAGGAGATAAACCCATTCCATTTAACTAAATCGCTACCTACTAATCGTCACATATTTTCGATGTAAAAACTAAACAATCGAAGTTAAGCATCTGCACTGATAATAATACACTTTTTCCCGTTGGTTGTCTACTTTAAATATACATTATCGTTTTCCGGGTTGGAACCGTGTAAACTGAGTTTTTGGGCTCAAGGTTTCGCACACTTTCGTAAGTGGCATCTTCAGAAGCAGGAAAACAATCATGTATTGATTCCGACCGTGGAAGCCTCCGAAATTATTTACTTTAGATATGTTTGATATTGTCCGCACGTATGGTCAGAGTCCCCTTATCTGCCCCTCCGCGGCGCAGGAACTGCCTTTACACTACTGGTTATTCTTTTGTAGAGGTTAGCGGAAAACAAAAATCGCAAAAACTAATTTTATAATTTTTCAAAGAAGTTGGATTTTCTGGACTGTACTTCAAGAGCGAGGGAAAGTCTGGGACACATTTTTTCTTCTCTTTCTATTTTGTTAAGTTTCTCTATATTGTTTCTGCGACTTTTTACTTTTGTAAAAGACACGTCCACATATTGGAAGAATGAGAACAAAGAGATGCAAAGTGTTGTATCTGAAAAAATTGAAATATCAATATTTGAAACTGTAATGTTTTAGAATTTTTCTATGAACACTCTGTACATTAATTTTTTTTTTAATTGGTACTACAATAAAGTGCATACCTGTGTTTATTCTTCCGCAAAATATTATGAAACAGTTTTTAAAAATAATTCTATTGCTAAAAAAATTGAAAAAAAATTGGAATAACGTGGCAACATCGCATCGGATTTCGAAAATAGACTGCTATGGCTCAGAAAAAACACTCTGTATAATTCAAAATAATTTTAGTGTGTTACTCAAAAACCGTAAAACTTTAGTCTGTAACTTTTTACTTCCCGAGTGTAAGCTAAGGAAGTATTGTAATCGAGTCGATAGGGCGACTGGCTATTTTTATATTTTTGTGCGTTTTCGAAAATTATCCAGACACTTTTTTCTTGATCTCGATTTGCAGACGATTTTTCGGCAACGATTTCTTCAAAAATTGTAACCACTTCTCTGGAATCACCCAAATGGCATATGGCCATTTTTGGAATTTTTTAAAAATTTGATTTTGAAACCGAAAATTCGATTGTTGTCGAATTGTTTTGAAGTTTTGGGCAACTCTACCTAAACCTCAATTTTTCAATATGATATTTTTCAGTTTTTTCGAGCACTTTCGAAAATTACCCAAAGACATTTTTTGTTGATTTCAACTTGTAGAACTCATTTTCGGCAACATTTCTAACAACTTTTCCAGAATCGCCAAAACTTGGCCGTTTTTTGGGATATTTAAAAAAAAAGTAATTTTGAAACCAAAATTTCAAAAATCTCCATTACGGACCATCCACAAGGTTTGTTTTTTTAATCAGTTTTCGATATTTTTTGTGGATTTGTGGGACAACTTTGACAAAAGGTTGTAGAAGACCTTTTCGGTACCATTTCTTTGAAAATTCCAATAATTTCCAAAATCACCAAAAATAAAATACTGGCATTTAAGGGATATTTTAAAAATTCAATTTTTAAACAGAAAATTTCGAAAATCTGGGTCTAGGACCGTCAACAAGCCATGTTTTTCGAATCAGCGCGTCGATATCCAAGTGGTGTAAGTCAGACTTTTTTGTGGATTTTTTTTAGGTTACTTTGCTTAAAGTTCTATTTTTCAATATAAAATATTTTAGCGTTTTCTTAGTACTTTTGAAAATTATACAAAGAGATTTTTTTGTCGACATTTCTTCAAAAATCCCAAGCACTTTTCCAGAATCACCAACATGAAATATGACTATTTTTGGAATATTTTAAATATTTCATTTTGAAGCCGAAAACTTCGATAATCTTGATCGACGACTATCAACAAGCTATGTTTTTCGAATTAGATCGTCGAGTTTTATATTCCAGAATTTTTTGTGGATTTTTCGCCAGTTTTGTCAAAAGCTCAAATATGCAATAAGAAATTTTTGACCTTTTTCCGAGAATTTTCGAAAATTAGCAATAGACATTTTTTTGTTGATTTCGACATGCAGAATCGCCACAACAAAGTATGACCATTTTTAATAAATTTTTATCCAGATTTGCAGAAGGTTTTTCGTCAACATTTCTTCGAAAATTCTAACAACTTTTCCAAAATCACCGAAATCTGGTCATTTTTGAGATATTAAAAAAAATGTGATTTTGAAACCAAAATTTCAAAAATTTAGGTCTGAGACCATCCACAAGCTATGTTTTTCGAATCAGTTTTCGATATCTTTTGTGGATTTGTTGGGCAAGTTTGACACAAGCTCAATTTTTCAATAAGAAATTTTTGAGCTTTTTCCAAGCACGCACTTCAGAAAACTACCCTAACACTTTTTGCTTGATTTCGACTTGCATAATTTCCAAAATCACCAAAGATAGAATATTGCCATTTAACGGATATTTTAAAAATTCGATTTTTAAATCGAAAATTTCTAAAATCTTTGTCTAGGATCCTCAACAAGCTATTTTTTCAAATCACTACGCGGATATCTATATCTCAGATTTTTTGTGGATTTTTGTTAGGTTGCCTTCCCTAAAGCGCTATTTTTCAGTATGAAATATTTGGGCGTTTTCCGAGTACTTTGGAAAATTATACATACAGACTTTTTTGTCGATTTCGACTTGCAGAAAACATTTTCGTCAACATTTCTTCAAAAATTCCAACCATTTTTGTCAAAATCACCAACATGAAATATGACCATTTTTGGTATATTTTGAATATTTGATTTTGAAACCAAAAATTTGGATAATCTTTGTCTGAAACTATGTTTTTCGAATTAGGTCGTCGAGTTTTATATCCCAGAATTTTCTGTGGATTTTTTAGCCAATTTTGTCAAAAGCTCAAATATTCAATAAGAAATTTTTGAGCTTTTTCCGAGAATTTTCGAAAATTACTTATAGATATTATTTTGTTCATTTCGACATGCAGAATACACGGCCACAGTTCGTCGAAAATTCTAACCACATTTCCAGAATGGGCAAAACTAAGTATGCCCATGTTTGGGAAATTTTGAAAACTTTGATTTCGAAATAAAAATGTTCGTAAATGTTCGCCTGGGAAGCTATGTTTTTCGAATCAGCTCATCGACATCTTTATCCCATAATCTTTTCTGGATATCTAGGCACCTTTGCCAAAAGCTCACTTCTGCAATTTTTGAGCTTATTCCGAGAATTTTCGAAAATTACTCAAAGATATTATTTTGTTGATTTCTATCTGCAGAAGTCATTTTCGGCAACATTTCTAGAATCGCCGAAATCTGGCCGTTTTTGGGACATCTAAAAAATGTGAATTTGCAGCCAAAATTACAAAAATCTAGATCTGGAACCATCTACAAGCTCTGTTTTTCGAATCAGCTTCCGATATCTTTTGCGGATCTGTTGGGCAATTTTGCCAAAAGCTCAATTTTTCAATAAGAAATGTTTAACTTTTTCCAAGTACAACACGAAAACTACCGTACCACTTTCTGCTTGATTTCGACTTGCATAATTTCCAAAATCAGGGATATTTTAAAAATACGATTTTTAAACCGAAAATTTCGAAAATCTTTATCTAGGACTGTCAACGAGCTATGTTTTTCGAATCAGCACGTCGATATCTATATCCCATGGGAGTATCAACAACCTCTTTTTCGAATTAGGTCGTCGACTTTTATTTCCCAGAATTTTCTGTGGATTTTTTAGCCAATTTCTCAAAAACTCAAATATTCAATAAGAAATTTTTGAGCTATTTCCAAGAATTTTCGAAAATTAGCGATAGACATTTTTTTGTTGATGTCAACATGCAGAATACATTTTCGGCCACAGTCGAAAGTTCTAACCACATTTCCAGAATCGCCAAAACCAAGTATGGCCACTTTTTGGAAATTTTGAAAACTTTGATTTCGAAATCGAAATTTTCGTAAATCTTCGCCTGGAACTATGTAGAAGTCGAATCAGCTAGCTCATCGATACCTTTATTCCAGATTTCTTTCTGGATTTCTAGGCAACTTTGCCAAAAGCTCACTTTCGCAATTTTTGAGCTTTTTTCGAGCATTTTCGAAAATTACCATTTCTTCTAAAATTCCAATTACTTTGTTATAGTTTTGAAGATTAATTATTCATAAAATTATGAACAAGCAGACGGCAGACACCCGGAAATAGAGGGTCTACTTTTTGATATATTTACTAAGCGACTGAAGTAGGTAAAGAAAAAAATGTTAGTGGACTGAGTTTTTTGGAGTGTAAAGAATTCCTATTGCATGTTGGGTCGTATTTTTTTCACAACTGCATCATAATCAGTGTTTAAGAGTATCTAGTATTACTTACTAGTAGTACTTTTATTTGTCCCTCCACAAAACATTAAAAATAACCCTATTGCGATTTTTTGTGTGAATCCTCCCATTGCCAAAAAATTTCAACAACATTGGAATAACGTGGTTACAGCATTGGAATTTCCAAAAAAAAACTCAATAATAATAAAAAAAACAATCACGTAATCAATGCCAGTAGTTTTTACATTTCATTCATTACTAAATAACAACATAAAACCGTATATTTTTGTTCCAGCGAAAGATTAACTAAATAAAATACGTAAATGACACGCTACACTTTTTACAGCTACACTTTTTCAGAATGAACGTTGTCAAATTATAAACCTTAAATGTTTAGCCAATATTTTTAATCATTAGGAACTTAATAAAAAATGAATAAAAAACCTTGATCCAGTCCAGTTGGTGTAACTTGACAACGACAAAAACTATCACAAATAGTGGGATTGGGGGGACAGGTTATTACTACACAGTTACGTTATTTATACCTTAACGATCGGTTTTATTAGCTTTTTGAAATCATGTCAACTTCAAGGCTATGATGTGACATTAGAAATGAAAATTACAAAAACAACAATTTTCCATAATTTAAGTTTCATGATTATAAAAATACTGCAAAAACGAATCGTCGGAATAGACGATTAAATAAAAAATTAAAAGTAAAAAAAAAAGTTAATTGATTTAAATATGCTTTCAGTTACAATAATTGTAGAAATTCAGATACCTTTACTGTAATTGCTCCTCCATTTAACGATGAGTTAAGTGGTTTATTAAAATTTTAATGATTAACATAGATTTTCCTATCTATGTTTCTTTTGCTGTGGCACCATCGTGTTTGGTGGACAATTATTCCACCAAATTTCGAAGATTTATTGATGATTAATTTATGAATGTTTATTACCATCGTTCGTTCCATTGAATGTTTTATAAGTTGGATTACAACTATACGTTCTGCGATTATCTTGGTTGCCTATTCTTGCACCAAAACAATGAGTTTTGTATGCAATTTGATTGAAATAGAAAGTCTGTATCAGATCAGTACCGAGAGTCCATTTTCCAAAAATTTTCACTGAAATTCCAAACCAAAAGTGGTACCTGCATGTATTTAAACGCATATTTAGTAATAGTAGCTATAGTCTCTCATATCTTTCAGATATCCTAGTGCAGTTCTTCCCCGCACCGAACAAGGCCTCCGCGACTTCTTAGAAAAGCGCTGGTTGGACAAAGAACGAACTTTACGTGAGTATCACATGACTGGTCAGTTCCTTCACGGTCGTATTCTGAAGACAGAAAATCGATTCGAATTACTCTTCGCATTGGTCTTCTGGACTCTCCTTCCTGTCATCGTAACATACATCTTCTGGGTAGTTCCCTGGTTTCGTTTGCTGGTTTTGGGCCACACGGTGTTTCTTTTAGCCGTCAATTTGACCTTCGAAGGCTTCCAGAACTTCGAGATTGGGCTGTTCAACTTTAAGAAGCGAATAATTAGGGCCAAGTAGCGGTGTTAATCGATGTTTATGTGTTTTTGGTACCTTAAAACTGTCAATCATTTTTGTGTAGAATAGACTTTATTTTTGTATATGTGGTTTGGTTGGAACGGTTGTTTTATTGTGAAGTTGGGACGAAAAATTTGGAGATGAGGTTAAGAATACAGAGTGATGGGTTTTCAACATTTCTTTCGTTATTTAAATTGTTGTCTTGATATTTTATTTTTTTCTACTATATTCTCTATTTGTACAAAGCTTGGTGATAATCTACAGCTATACAGAATATTTTGTTTTCGAGGCATAGCACACAACTTGGTTTTTAAATAGAATACCCATTGCAAAAAAATCAAGAACATTGGAATAACTTGGCAACCTCGCATCTGTACTTCGGTAATAAATTATGGTTATAAAATTGAGTAAGAAGAGGTCAATCAGAACATAAAAATTTGTAAGGTATTCCATTTGAAAAAACTAAGTTGCCTCATTCTTTAAAACAGAATGAGGTATGATTAAAAAAAATTTTTGGTATTCTTCTTATCAGTTTTGAGACAAAACTGTATTTAAGAATTAAGTGAATTGCACTGATCGCACATCTATGTGAAAACAGGGGAACATAGTTTCGAAATGTCATTTTTATATAGAATTTTTATGTAAAAAATGACAACTGGAATTTTTTAACAGTTCATAATATTGTGTATATCAGTTTATTACGTAAGGTGAGTCACGAGTATTAGAGATAAAAAGTACAAATCTACAGTTCTTCGAGCAGCGCACGCCAGGATTATTTTCAACTATACAGAGTGTTCTGTTTTTGTGGAGCAACATACAAAGTAGTTTTTTTATGGACCGTCGTAAATATTTTTATATTTTCTGATTGGGTTTATTTTTGAAATTTGTTAACAATGCGAATTGCTAGGTAACGAGAATTGAACCGAGTGTGCTATTTGGCAAAACTGAGACATGCCTATTTGAAAACTGTAATATTTTGAAATTTTTTATAAACATTCTGTAAACTACAATAAATAACGTGTCAACGTAGCTTTGACAATTAAAAAATAAGCTATGGCATAAAGATTAAGAAAAGCTCAATAAGAATAAATAAATAAATTGAAGAGGTCAAGTAAAATATTTATGTAAAAATATATAGGCTGTTCTATTCGAAAAAGTAAGTTTTGTGTTATACCTTAAAAACAGAACACTCTGTATAGTTAATGTAATTTGAGTGTGTGATTGTCAAAGAATCGTACAACTTTCGTTCGTAACTTTTTTCCTTTTCACCCTGTATATGTAGAATATCAGTATAAATGATTAGAACAAACTGTTGTGAAATGGTCAACCTTAAAAGGAAATTTTTATTCTTATAGTTTTGAATTTAATGTGCAAAAATGGGTGTTTTTAGGTTTTTTGGTACAGAAAAACCAAAATAACATCAATAACACAGATATGTTTTTCCACAACAGTCAGTAATCTAATCTTTAAACAAAAAAATATTTCAGTTTTTTGATACCTTTTCTATTAAAAAGAAAATACATAAAAATTCTGCTACTACAACCATAATTATTTATCTTTATATCTGTAGTCAGGGTAGAAAAATCATGTAGAGATAGTGGTCCGGAAACTGAATATTGCTAATAGGTGTTCGAATTACACTAAAGTTTAAACTCTGTACCTATATTATATTAATGACAAATATTCTACCAGAAAATCTGGCCAACTTTTTTCATCTTCCTAAGGTTTATAATTAAAATCCACGCCTTTCACTACGCACTCGCAGACTAACACAACAAATTTTTTAACATGAAAATTTTCAAGATTTTGTAATGCGTAGAGGGCTTAGGAATAACACTAAATTTTGGTAGAGGTTATTTAAAATGTTATGTAAATATAAATCAGACAAGTCAATTTTTTTAGAAACACTTCCTCAAACAAAAAAAAACAAAACTTGTTGTGATTTGTTGATGCACTCACTAGTTCAATGTTACGTGCTAATTTTGCTTGACGTAACATTTTGGTAACCTAATCTCTACTGTCAATGTCACCCTGCTTTAACTTCCGTACACAAATTTGTACAGCATTGCTTGAAATCTTTTAACTAATCTGACAAATTTTTCGTCCATCTGTTTTAGATTTAAGGTGAGTTTCTCAAATCCATTTTGACCGACTCACTACGTCTTAGCGGTTCAAGTGAATTCATGTGCCAAATTAAGCTAGATCTTTGTAAATACGTGTTATGTTCGTATTTTAATTCTATAAGTACTGGACATTTACTCTTTCGTAAAATTATGTATAGATTACTTGTATATTTCGTGTAATATGGTTACATACATAAATTGTAATTATTTACTGTACAAAAAATAAACTCAGTGTTTCGATTTAGCGTGCTGAATTTTTGCGTTATATAACCTATTATAACAAGTCAACTTTCGGCGAAATGTGTAATTTTTATTTGCAAAAAGGAATACCTACTTAAAAATATTAATAAATAATAATGTCAAGTGTGGGGGAACTCCCCTCTCCAAAACTGTACGATTGAACGAAAACGTGACCAGCGTTAGTTTTATGTCAGCGAGGGTTCTAGAGAGAGTGTTCATTGATAAATGCGGCAAGTTTGAAAGAAAAAAAGTTTCGTGATTTTTTGGGGGCTAACAACAACTACCCTTAATATAACTGTAAGTAAACGAAATTTATAGTGTAAGGAACATGAAAAGATTGTAAACTATAAACACACATTTCTAGTGTTCCATATCTTTTCACTTTTGCAACATTACCAAATCTTGTTAATTTTATGTAAGAACAACATTGTTATGTATGAAATAGTTGATTCAATTAGCAACAAAGAGATACTCATGTTATCCAGTGAAAGTTTTGTCTCGACAATTAAGAGTTGGTTTTTCTTCTAAGTGGTTTTGGATGAAGAATTAATTCTTCAGTAGTGGAGGTAATGATGCGGTAATACGAGAGTAGGTCGTGACATGTTTTCGAACTCGATATTTAAAGAATGTTGCAAGGTTGATTTAAAAAGAAATTTCAAATATGAATAAGTCATTGGATTAAAATGGGGAAATTTATGAAAGTCATATTTTCTAATATAGCACAATTAATTAGTCAGTCTTGTTTCATGACGGTAGTCGTATTAAAACCAGTACTGTAACTGGAGGAGAAATATTATTTTAATGTTATTTTAGAACTAGTTTTAAATATTGTTATATAATTTCTCTCCAATGTAGCTGAAATTTGTTTGTTACCTACATAATTAGTTTTTGTAAACAACAATGACTTAAAAAAATGTTTGAGACTGGCGCTGGACCAAGGTGAAACTGACGTTATAAAAATATCCACCAATAAATAATTAACGTCATAGAAACATTAAACGTCACTTTTTGATGAAAATAATTAAAATCAGTTTAGAGGACAGCTGGTACTAATGTTAAGACTTTCAAGAATTTGTTATTTTGCTTACGAAAACAAGAAGAGTTTGTTCAGAAATATTTCTAAAGACATTCATTGCATTTTATATACTTTACATTCAAATTGATTAGTCAAATACATTGATGGTAATTCTCGAATTTCTTTTACTTAATTTCTGAGCATTAGCTAAAGAACTACTAAGCGAGTCCATGACGTCATCTCCAAAATCTACAATAATACATATTCTTTAATTTTATAATTAATATGAGATACTCGTTCACTTGTGATGCATGAATTAAGTTTTTAGAATTACTTAGGTATACAGGCTAGCTCAAAAAAATTTTAATGAATGAAGCAATTGATTGTACTAATTCAATCAAGAACGACTCACTTCATTTTTCCGAAAATTTCAGAATACAGTACTGTTATTATTAGTGTTATAATATATCTAGCAAAAATGTCGATGACGTCGTCACAAAATTTTGTACTAAACTTCGACTAGTTTTTGTGCCTGTTTTTCCTGGCACAGTTGGAGTTTTAATTTATTTACCTTATTTTCATCAATGTGCGTATACATATACAAAAACAGCCTCTTTTGTGGTATCGTTATGACTATAATTCTCTGTGAACGCAGCTGCTTTGTATATATTATTGTGTTTAAATGTAAATTTTGTGATAATTAGCAAAAATAATGAAAACCCATTAAAGAAACAAAGCTTCCGTCAAATAATGAGTAGGTAGAACTTGCAGAAAAGAATTTTTAGGCCACAAGATAACTTCCGTAATTAAAATTCCTTCGGGTGAAATATTGACCTTTTCGTGCTTATTTAATACAATTACATTTGCAAGGAAGTGTAAGTCTAGACTATGTCAAATATGCATGACAAACGAAAATGTATTTTGCATTTAAAACACTAATTTAAATTTTAGCTTGCACTGGTGTATTTTTCATATGAACTTTATTAATGTTACTTTGTATGTATATTTTTTTAATTTTCCACTTCCTGTGCCATATTGGTTTACTCGTTTATAATCTCGTCATAGCCTTAAGTAGACTAAAAATCACAAGGAAACCGTAGCAAAAATTTCTGTGGTTTTAAATTGAAAGATTTTAAACCATTTTTCTCTAAAATTATTTTAGATTAAAAGTAAAAAGTTTCGTTGAATTACAAAATTATTTGAACTACCTCATTTAATGAAAAAATTCGCTAATTTTAGGTTAGTTTTCGAGAAAATAAGCAATATAGATATGGATCAATTTGGACACACATTCTCGAAGGAATTGTAACTAGTCGAAAGTGAGCTATGACTTGCATTTTGTGCAAATTTATTCTAAAAATTTTCTATTCCTATTTTCTTCAAGAACCTAGTTTTATCTATACCATCTCAGTCTTTACACCTTTGATACCTCATACTACAGGGTTTTTTCGCAAAGTCGAACAAGTCCGAAAAACCTACTTTGTATCATTAAAAATGTGAAAGCAACATTAAATCTTATCCAACCTTTTTAGACTCTAGAAAATTTTGTATCAGCTCAGAATGTTAGAAAAGCATAAGAGAACTGTCAGATTTTCGACGAAAAATTTTTACCTCTTAGTGCTTTCAGCCATTCCGACTCGTTAATAAACACTTTTTATTTCCCTAGAGTTAAATTCGGATTATTCCACAATATTACCGATTTTGTTTTATCAGCAAAAATGTAAATTAATCGTGTTAGAAGAAACAAAGATAGAGGTCAATTTTCCTTTGTTTTTCTTTCGTTTTGATTCTCGAATGCATTTTTCTCTAATGATCTTTCCCTTCATTCCACCTGATATGTTATTAACAAATCCTCAAGTTGGCATTTGATTTTCGGCTGTTTTCTCCGACGTAAGACAAGTCACTTAAAATTCGAAATTAAGTATGTCTAGGCAATACAAATTTCTCATCTAGATTTTACTTTTTTAGTTGTTTATATTGCATACTAGACATTCCTCTAAATTTTTTGCTGGCGTTAAAATTAAAAAAACTGCTTGCATTTGCACCTCTATTCTAAACGTGTTCAATAATTGTAGCCATCATTTCCCTTTAAAGTTTAAAGTGTCGTTAAATCTCTTTAGCACAGATGCGTTGAACGCACTGAAGCAGTTCCATTCAGACCTACTGTTTCTAATTTTGCAATACTTTCTCGTATGATGTTAAAATTGCGTGCAGTCTACATTAGAGCAGCTTTTATTTCATTTTTCCTCATCACTAATTAGCTTTTGGGGTCACTTGCAACGCACTTTCTTGAAATTATATAATAACCAGTAAACAAATTTTTCAATTAATTATTATTGCTTGAAATATAAGAATAGGTTCCACTTCCTTGATAAAATCGGAATGTTTAGTATAAAATAACGTGTTAAAACAGGTTGGGGTGACGGCGGTAAATTTTTTAACTTCCCCTTATAAACGTACACCCTTAAAGGAACTTTGACAAGATCTCGGGTATCAAAATATCTGAGACTAATTGAAAAGGGAAACATATTGTAGCTGTTGGATTAGAAACAGAAGATAATCGGTTTATCTAAGCAGATGAAAGCGAGTAGTGTGCATTATAAAGGTACCGCGTCAATTCGTCGCACGACAACTGGTCGCAGTCACAATTCATCGCAACACAATTCGTCGCAAGTACAACCGGTCGCATGCGATAATTGATCGCAGGCGAAAAATGATAGCGTTTAACCGTTTATAGAGAAAATAAGTAATTGTTATGAATGAGGAAAATAAAATAAAGTGCTGTATTCTCAAAAATTTCATTATTTCTAAAAAAGTGTCAAAATAACACACGAGTTCCATAAAAACAGTAACTATTAGGCTCATTTCCGACTAAACCAAAGTGAAAAAAAGTGAAAATATTGTAAAATATTTTTTTTAATGCTGACACATATTTCGTCGGTATGCTACTGTAATGTTCATTTGGATTATTCGTCTTATTAATTAGACACTCAAGTAAGTGATTCATGCTTTTTTTTTCTCACAAGTTTAAAGTTTGTCAATTAAACGAGTGAAAAAAATAGCTTTCAAAATGTGTTACACACGTCATTTTTTTAACATACAAAATGGCTTTAAAATTATTACAACTGTCAAATTAAAAATTTATAGATTTATCATAATCAATGAAATAGTGAAAAAACTCTCGTTACAGTTTTAAGTGAAAAAGTATTATTTTCATTACGTTTGATAGTTTAAAAACTTAAATATTCATTTTTTTTTAAATTTGGTGCAAAGAAATTTGAATTTATATATTAACAATTAATCTTGGAGTTTACTGCATTCTTTGCAGACAATTTTTTGGTCACTACAAATTAGTTCTGGATTATCTTTAATCCATGATAAAACCAAAGATGTATTTTCATTCAGAACTTTTTTAAACGCTCACACTGTTAATGAGGCGCTTGTAGAAACGAAAGAATGAATAATTTATCTCATTCCCTTTGCTAAGTACCTACATACCAATCTCCACTTTTACGCCATTTGTGTAAACAAGATCGTAAAAAGATTAGTTTTGACCATGGAGCAAAGAATATACTCATACTGGAGGAAGTGCCAGACTTAAAATGATGGTTTCGAGCCAAACCGGTAAAGTGTCATAAATAGTACCCCTCATTACCCAGATAATATTGCCGATGACAGTGACAGTTTTTTTTTTGAAGCGGCTCATGGAATAAAAATTGTTGAATACAACAACGCACATAACAGATTTATATTATACAGAGTTAGTCACGAGAAAATTATTTCTAAAAATTATTTTTACGCAACGCAAAATACTAATGCCCCGTACCACTTGATACTATCACAATTTAAAATGAAATGCTTAATCCATGATTGCTTTGACTTTGGCAGTGTCCGTTTGACGTTAGTTAATTTTTAACATTTTTCTTCATCGTTTACTCAAGGGATTAAAATAAGCTGCATATGGATACTCTATATGTACTATTAGTTCATAAATTTTATTGTTTGATGATATGTATAAAGACAAGAATAGACAATAGAGGCAATTCTGTATCAAAATGTGTTAAAATTTAAAGGTTGTTAAAAATACGATTTTTTAAATAATTGTATAATAAATCTAGTTAAGAACAATAAACACTTTTTTTTATGTTGAGTAATGAAGCTAGTTCCTATAATATAATAGGTAAAATAAGCAACGACATAAATAGTAACAATCTCTTAAAAAAAAAACCAAAATGACAATTTATTAATAAAAAATCTTATGTAACAAGGTGTTTACGCTCGT